ATCCCCTAACTGTTAATCCATATCTCTCATCTCTAACCTTTAACACTAACTTCTAACAGCATTACCATTAGCGGTTAGCATTACTAACTCCCAACAGCGTGTCGGATTCTGCCGTGAAGTGAGTGAGTGGAGGAATGTGACCCAAACACTCAGTTCCCCATCAGCTGTGACCCTCAGTCTGCAGGCTTTTTTTTTTTTTGAGGTTCGGTCTCGAGTCTGGAGGAAAATAGGCACAATGAGGCCCTCGGATGGGAGCTGGCTGGTCTGGGGGGGCATCCGGAGGAGGGGGAGGGGGGCAGGTTCTGTTGAGCGTGAGGGTCATACGGCTGTTTGTCACAGGCTTAAAGGAGAGCGGGGGGGGGGGGATTTCCCACATTAAGGCACTGATCCCCGTGGGAGTCAGTTTGTCTCTTTTGCTGATGTAAGGATGTAACTTTGGGGGGGTGGGTTTAAACCCGCCCATCAGATATTTTCGAATCCCGCTTTTTCCGGCTCTTTAAGGCAGAGACGGGGGTCGTGTGTTGGGAGGTGGCGTGTTGCCATGGCGCCTGGCTCCCGTATAGATGCTGTCTGACACACCGGCAGCTCCCTCACCTCCGTGTCTCGTCCTGTTCCCATTCGGACCGGGCGCCTCTGACACGTGGTTCGCACGCGCCCAGTCCGCTCTCATAGCCTGATGGGTGCCGTCCCTGCCGTTTGACAATCCAGGGTTTAGTATTTACACTTCACTGAGCCACTCTGATGGACAGTGTGCAGTAATGTATGAAACTGTAATTGTGAAATGATTACGTGATTGGTAAGTAGGTTATGAGTGCGGAGACGGGGGTGACTGTGATGGGGGGGGGGCAGCATTCTTACAGGGCTCGCTCACTGGGTAATTAGGTCTGACTACCAATATTACGTCTCTGCAGTGGGGGGGGGTCCCATCCTCTGTCCTCGGCAGCTGGATGTCCTAAACTGCCAGAGTCTCATCTTGGTTTCCCCCCTAACTGGGCTGTTTCCTTCACTTGTCTTGAAAGGGGGCTGGGGGTGTTTCCCCGCCATTCCGCTGTTGGTGACCTCACTCACAGGACACTTTCCTGCCTCTGACTGGCTGTCTGGCTTTTGTGGCTGTGAGCTAAGCAGCTGTAAAAGTGTCCCAGATGGTGTTTCGTCCTTTGGAAGGGGGGGAGGGGGGGATGTTCCTTTAATTTCCTCTACAGGATTGTCAAGCACCCCCACCCCCCCTAGAATGTGGAGGGCCAGTGCCTTACAGTCAGGGTGATTGCATGATTAATGCTGCAACAAACTCCCCCCCCCCCCCCCGGAATGCTGTAATCTCGGCCTCAAAATAATCAGTGTTGATTAAATTTCCCTCTGGTTCCTTTGTTATATAAAACAGGGCTAGCAGAGACCTAGACTGGTGTTAAGTCATGGTTTATGGCAGGGCTATTCGATTCAGGCCCTCGATTCCAAATCCAGGCCTTGTTTTCAGTTCTCCCAGGTAGTTAGTTTAATAATTACTGATTCTGATTGGTCAGAGGTTTCACACCTGGCTCACAGGTGAAAGAAGGCTGGAAAACCAGCAGGGCTTAGCCCTTGAGGACCGTGAGTTGAATGCTCCTGGTTTATGGTGTAGTTGAAGGTGAAGTCCCCTCTGTCTGTGAAGGGCCTCAACCACTTTAGTTTTGTTGTCTTATTTCCTAAGAGAGAAGCCAGTTTGTCCGTCCTCTCGGTAAAGACTGAATGTGAGCTCTTCTGTGTAGCTGAGAAACTTGAATGGGGGGGTGGAGCCTGAGAGATGGGGCTAGGAAGGGGGCGTGGCCTGGCCCGGCCCTCCCACTTTCCCAGGCCGCTGTGCTGTGAGCCCTCGCTGATGAGATCAGGCAGATCGGCTTTCAGCGTGGGAAGCAGCTGCTCCGGAGCGGCTCTGCCGGGGGCGTCGCCGGCACATTCGTCCTCCTGCCCGCTTAACCGCGAGGGGAGAGCCCCCTGCGCGTGATCGTCCCCGACATTCCGGCCAGGACGGCGCCAGCTGGTACTTCCCGGATCCACGAGGCGGTCCTGCTCAGAAGCTTCTTACTGCTGTGAGGTGGGGGCCAGCCAGGCGGGGAAGGGGGAGGCGGCATTCGTCTGCCTGTGCCTGGTACTCTCCTGCTCCAGCTCGCAGATAGGTGTAGAGCGCAGTCCTTGGCCCGCTCTGGGGTCCAGCGTGCCCCGCTGACTGACAGTCTCTGACTGGCTCTGCGGTGTCCGGAGGCTGTGCCTCCCGCGGCGATGGAGGGAGCCTGACCCTACTTTGATGGTAAGGTGCGTCACTCACTCGTTCTTACTGTAAGTGATCCATCCCAGGGTGCCGTCCGCGCTCCCTTGTGTTCCGCGGTCGGCCCGTTCTTCCACAGGACGCTGGCGCGTCTGGGCTTCCGCCGTCTTCTGGCATCCGTATGACGAAACCTGAACCTCTGTACTTTCCGTCCCGGTCGCCTCGTGACTTTTAACGTCAGTAAGGCCGCTCGGGGTGGGGGGGCTGTTTGTGGTGTTACCTCGGGACGGTGCCTGTGCACACTGTGGTGTAAGGTTAGCGAGGTCTGGCACAGCTGTCGTCTGTGATCAAAGTCGCTGATAAAGTTTAATGGCTCTGCTTTTGTTGGCCGGTTAACGCTGCAGCTGTGTTTTGGCTCAGCCTTTCAGACAGGTCGTTCTGTCTCTGCCATCTGTGGTCCGGTTCCAGGCTCGGAGGTACTTGTTAGTATAATAAGCAAACTCGACATAACGGAGTATCCCACCAGGGCCGATCCTCCATAGCTCTGCTGAATGATTTTCAGAGTTAGACAAACTGTCATCATTTTATTGGGCAGCACAGTGTTTAACACAGTATCCCAGTGATGGTGTAGTCTTAATGTTCGAGTCTTTTCAGTAACTTGACCTGATACAGGATTAATGGAGTGTGACCTTCAGAGAGGTGTGTGTGTGTGTGTGTGTGTGTGTGTGTGTGTGTGTGTGTGTGTGTGTGTGTGTGTGTGTGTGTGTGTGTGTGTGTGTGTGTGGGAACAGGGCCTCAAATGTTCTTCTTGGATCCTGATCTTCTGCTTGACGTCCGTTCCGGTCTGTCTTATGGTCTGTGAGGGGGGGCAGGACAGCCCTGAAGCAGACAGACGCCTCTCCCGCTCCTCTGTTTACCTCCTTGGAGGTGTAACCGCGTCACGCCGGAGGAATTTCCTGGCCTTTGTGCCTGAGAGCCACGTGTCTCTGTTACAGGCAGAGGTTATTAAAGGGAAGGTGATCAGACTGACGGTGTTTTGCTGCAGCGAGTCTGGGCCAGCGGCTTTATCCTGCGACGCTGAAACTTGGCTAAAAAATAGCGCAATTCCAGGCAAGACAAGGATTCCCCTCAGTGTTTGGGGGGGGGGCACTGTGTGAAGAGCCCCCCCTTTGAGTTTTGGCCAGCTGCCCCTGTCCACAATGGAGGCGGGGGCACCGTTGGTCACCCTGCCGCTTTCGTATCCTCTGGAGCAGAAGTAAGTGGTATTGTGGGGAAACACTCCTTTGATGTCATGATTTCACTGGGCTCCACTTTGAAGGGTTTATGGACGGATTTAAACCGGCATGGAATGAGATGCGGCACGGCCTAGCTGACCTCAGGAATATTCCAGAATCTTTCTAACGACGGCTTCTTCGTGGTGGACGGCTCTGCTGAAAGGCCGTGTGTCTCTCTCACATGCTCACGGCCGTCCGTCCTTGTCCAGGCTGCAGACCTCATGTGGGTCGCTTGACAGGGGGTTGACTCATGGAAAACCTCAGAGCGACGTGCTGTGACCTGCCCCCCCCCCTGCATACAGCTGGGGTCTCTCCAAACCCCTCTGTCTCATGAACCTCTGTAGAACATACTGCCCCAGACTGGGTCGGTCCTGACCACCCCACCAAGTTCGAACTCAGACGGCACCCGTTCAAATAAGGGTAATGGCCATCTTTGCCACTGGGTGTGGGGGGCTGCTCCCGCACGCATCGTGTCCCCGGGGGAGGGGGGGGGCACTTTGATCAGCAGTGATACAGTTGGCTCACATGGGTACGCACGTACTGCATGACCAAGGGGGTTGGAATGTACCCGGGCGGAGGGGGGAGGGGCTGTATTTCTTTGGGCTTTGAAGTGTATCAGCTTTGATGGAGGTGGGGGGTGTCAGGGGGGTTATCTGATACCTGCAGACGTCAGCGTGACCCCCGTCTCCTGGACAGCGTGTGCCTGAGATCCGCTTCCCATCGCGACACTGCCTCTGCTCTGGGGTCTGACGGCCTGTCTCTAACCCCCCCATCATGACACTGCCTTCACATTTTCTGATTTTCGGCCTGTGGGACAGCATCGGAGATCCCGACACGAACTTGAGACTGCGTTCCAAACTAAGGCGTGAAAACGGTGATAAGTAGCATAGGTGTACCGGCACTCACACGTACAGGAGTCTTTGTCTCTCGCCCCGTCTCTGTCGCTCTCCTTCCTTCCTGTTACTTAGCCTCAGACTGCATCTGACCTCATGGCCTCGTCACGGGGGGGGGGGGGGGTTTAATTCCTGGAAAACACAAAGCAGCCTGCCAGGATCCATAACAACAGGGTTGGTGATGTGCGTGAGCGTGCACATTTTTTTTATATATATATATATAAATATATATAAATAAAAAAACAGGGAACAGTAACTAGGTCTGGCTGCTTATCTGATGCCCGCGACGGTGACCCTGGCGTTTCCTCCCCATCTGTGGCAGCGGTTGGATGCTGCCTGCTGTTTTGGGGGGGGGGGGGCATGACTCTAAATCTCTAACTTTGTTTTGTTGGTTTCCTGCCCCTTTTCTGAGTTCTCTCTCCTCAGTCAGTGAGGGTGGGGTGCTGAGTGTTTTGTGGCCCTGTCCGTGATTCCTTCCCTGTTTAGTCTGTGGGGGGGGGGGGCGTCTGTCGCAGTCTGTCCGTGCCGCCCCTGCTGCGTTGTGAGCTTTGTATCACTGCTCACGGTGTCTCTTCTCTCCCTCCCCCGAAGGAGCCTGCTTCCTGTGACGGAGCCACGAGCCCCCCCTCCCCCCCGATGAGGTAACGGCGACCGCCTCAGAGCTCGTGGGCCTTGCCGTGCCAGCCGCGGCACCATGGGCCAGAAGATCTCCGGCAGCATCAAGGCCGTGGACGCGCGGGGCGAGCCCGCCTTGCGGCCCGCCAGGAGGGAGCTGAGCGGGCCTGACTTCTGCCGTCCGGCGCGGCTGGACCTGCTGCTGGACATGCCGCCGGCACCGGCCGCGGTGCAGCTGCAGCACGCCTGGAACCCGGACGACCGCTCCCTCAACATCTTCGTCAAGGAGGACGACCGGCTCACCTTCCACCGCCACCCGGTGGCCCAGAGCACGGACTGCATCCGGGGCCGCGTGGGCCATGTGCGCGGCCTGCACGCCTGGCACGTCCAGTGGCCCGCCCGGCAGCGCGGCACGCATGCCGTGGTGGGCGTGGCCACTGTGGCAGCCCCGCTGCACTCGGTGGGCTACACTGCTCTGGTGGGGAGTGACGCAGAATCCTGGGGGTGGGACTTGGGTCGGAACAAGCTCTACCACGACAGCAAGAACCGTGGGCCGGCGGCCGCAGCCAGCTACCCCGCCTTCCTGCAGCCGGAGGAGACCTTTGTGCTGCCCGAGTCGCTGCTGGTGGTGCTGGACATGGACGAGGGCACGCTTAGCTTCATGGTGGACGGCCAGTACCTGGGTGTGGCCTTCAGGGGGCTCAAGGGCAAGAAGCTGTACCCCGTCGTCAGCGCAGTGTGGGGGCACTGCGAGATCACCATGCGCTACATCAATGGCCTGGACCGTAAGTGCAACCCCCCAACATAGTGCCGCACAAACTGTGTACTGTGCAGTTAGTATGGAGTCGGTGGGTGGGTGGGGGTTGGGTTTCCATCAAGTAAGAGAAAAGAGCGGAAATGAGTGCAGTGTTTTTACTTCTCAAAATCGCTGAATCCTACTGAATTTCCTCCTCTGAAGGACTCTGCTGATTCGTTACCCCGAGCGCGGATCGATATTCCCGCATGTCCGTTCAGTCAGGGGGGGTTGGGGGTGTTCTCCTTTTAAGGCTCTGTGTTTTCACTAGTGAAACTGCCGTGATTGTCCAGCTAACACCAGGGTTGTGGGTGTCCACACACATGTGGATGCAGATCTCAGCCTCATTGGTGCTGAAACCTCCTGGACATGGGGCCGAGAATCCCCTGGGTGTTAGTGGTCTACTGCCCCTCCCCAATCCTCTGTGAGCCTGCCCCTTGCTTCTCTGGGGTGGGGCCAAGCCCCTCTGCAGACAGTGTGCCGGCGTTTCTATGATGTCATGCTGTGATAATGGTGTCTCCCTCTCACCCTACCGCTGTTGAGTCACGTATTTCTCGAGCCACAGGTAGGGGGGTGGGGTCACAGTGGATCCCCCTCCCACACACACACGCACTGGCATGGTAAACATTCCAGTAGCTTTAGAAAAACTCCTGCCATTCTCGGCTCCCAGATGATCCAGGTTTGGTCCCAGGCAGCTTCTGCAGAGCCTGTTATCCACCCTGCCAATATCTCTGACTCCAGTGTGGTCTCCCATCGCTGTCTGGGTCCGGATAATGAGTTCAGAACTGGGTTAAGCAGCTGGAGAGTGAGTATGTCTGTGAGCAGCTGAGTGCAGGAACTCGGTCGTCAGATGCAGGAGGAGAACGTGGGTTGTGAGAAGGTCCTATTAAGCTTGTAATATGGCTGAACTTCTGTTTCAGCCCCAAACGAAGGCAGAGAGGAGGTATAATGGTGCGTTCAGTTTGCCCTCGGAACTCTGATTCCGAGTTCTGAAGCCGGAATTGACGACATGCGCGCTCCCGTTTCTCGGAGATCGGAGAAATATCTCGGACAGGACAGAGGATCCCGAGTTCAGAATCCAAGATGGATGCACCTTTTATCAACAGAAGGGAAAGTTGTAGTTTTATACTGTTTAAGCACTACTTCTCATTTGTGGCTCATTAAATCGGTCGCACACGCTATACCGTCCAACTTATCTGTGGATGTGTTGCTATGGAGTTTTATATGTAAAGCGATGCGCGTAATGTGTTATCAAGTGATATTTCTAACAATGGCTACCAATTAACCGGGCTAGAATTGGATTTTTTGATTTGTCGGATTATTTGTAGGATTTAAGGTAGTTCGGGCTAATTGTAAGTGAACGAAGATAAAGGCAATTTAAACTTTAAACTAAACTTTAAACCTTAAATCCAACAAGTTGTCCGGCTAAGCAAAAAATCTTGCTTTTTCACATGGGTCCATGGTATTGCTACTCCTGTGGCAAATTGAACGGGTTTTCCCCGAGTTTTTAGCAGATGTGACGTAATCTCGGAATCCGAAAATCGGATCCCAAGGCAAATGGAACGCAGGATAAATCCCTCGCACTGAATGGCACACGCCCCCCTAGGAATCGCATGACCCCCCCCCCAAGCGCACGCACAAACACATACATGTGTTTGCTCCACCTTGTGATGCTGGACTCTGTCTGCGCCCCCTGCTGGCAAAGCCTGAGATCTCTCCCATCTGGGAAACACTCCGAGCAGGTCGTGCCAGATGTGTATCCCTGTATAAACAGCTGTGCGGGTCACTGGGTTTACGTGAGTCTGGAACGCTGGTCCCTGCCGCTGGTGCTTATTATGGGCTGTATGTGCTTGTGAGAGTGCCTGGGCCCTGCTGCTGCCGCTGGGTCTCTGCTTTGTGCTTGATGCTGGACCCTTTGATTTTGAAGTGTTCCGTTTTGATTAATTTGACCTCCTGCGCTTACGGACATTAACGTTTTATTGCCCCGGCACGATTCCACTCCGTTTTTTAGAAAGCCCGTGAAGCGGCCTGGCTTTCAGGCTGACAGGCCGTCACGTGGCTTCTGGAATGTTCCCTCCCACGGCCTGGCCGCTCTCCTGTCCCCACCGCCGGCAGCATTAGAGCGTACCGCTGCTTCACCTGGTGTCCAGTCTCCCACCCGCCGCCGTGTTTGGTCTAGGTTCCCCTCAGTTGTATAATCATGTTCCCTTAACAGGGCTCTGAGAATTCCCGAACGGTCAGACGCCAGACTCTTTACAATCCCAGACCTCTGTTCTTTGTTTTTCTGCCAGTGGGCATCCTGAAACAGCCCACTTCTGTGTTTAAGTGACACCCCCCATCCATTTTGGGGGTACCAAAACCTATTTTCTTTCTCCTGGTCCCATAATCGAACGCTGGCAGCTCTGAACCCCCTTGTTGCTGTCTGAAGGAGGCTTTGATTTCTGAGGTAATATTTGGCCTGAGTGGTATTGACAGGCTGGGCATTATGGAGGTTTTCTCCCCCACCGCACTAACCCCTCCCCTCCCGCGTATCATGTGGTCTTCATTACTACACATCTCCTGCACAAATTCGCCAACTGCCTGAATATAAACCATCTTCACTTAAGTTCCGCTCACATAATCTATTGACCTCCTTTTTAGCGGGGTGTGGGAGGTCCAGTGGGGAGGATGGAATTCCGAAAGGATGGCTGCTTCATGGAATGGAAAAGGCCTTGTTTTTAAAAGAATCTTACTCTGCCCCATCCTATCCC